TTTAAGTAAAAGATTATTTCAAATAAATTTCGTGCTTCGATATTTCTGCAGGATAATTGTACTAACTCTGAAGAGACAAGATGCGCTGAACAGTTGTTGCATAAATAAAAGTCATATATATGCAGTTACGGTATGTAATTACCGCAAGTTATATATATGAAATATCTAATTCACGTAGTAACCAAATTATTTAAAGTATTTTATTGTCTTATAAACAAATTATATAATTAAAATGATGAAATAACTGAATTTATTATTTAATATATTTTTATGAAATTAATGCATGTAAAATAGATAGAGCTAGTAAACGGTGTAAACCTTTAACTATAAAAATATGGACCGCTAGAGTTAACTTCACGCTTTAGCACACAAACCAAAAAGAACAATTGAAATTACCGCTTATAAGCATAAGCGCTCACAGCGCATAAGCATCCAAAGGAAACGCAGCCTATGTATAGAGTTCATTGGCCTGGTGAGAAAACACGTGACCAAAACTACTGTAGCAGTTGGTCATTATCGGTCACGTGTTGTTTACCGCTGAAATTGAACGTCAACGTAAAAAGGCACCTTGAGTGATATGTTTTGCACGTTTGTAAATAATACGAAATTAGTTGTACAACGATTAATAACGGACATACTTGCCATTATTGTGAATTTCAGGCTCTTTCATACTTCGCTGAACTATCTACGCAATGACTACAATAGCGCACTTGCACACTGAAGAGATTAATATTATTTTATGCGATCAGAGCATCAGCTTTAAGGATATTATGAGTTTAGCTTTCTCATGCAACAAATTTTACAACTTATTAACCACTGACAATGCACTTTGACGGAAGAAATTTTATCAGAGGTATTTTTTCACATTGGTTTTTATATGTAAACAAGCTTAATTTATCTTATTCGGGATGCAAGTTTAGTGATAAGCAAATATTTTATTTCATTTGTCTTGAATAAATTTTCTATTTTAGTCAAAATTTGAAATGTATAGTAACGTTTGTTTTAAATTTTTCATTTCGGTTACAATAACTTTATCTGGTTTGTATAATTTTGGAAAATTATATAAAGAAACTGTAAAATGTGTAAAATTATATAACTTTGAAAAATGACATGTATTTTTGTTTTAATTTTAGATGGCCTCATCTAAGAGAAGAATATGACGAACAACTGCGCCTAGAAAATAAAGGTTTTCTTGAACAAGTAAAAGCAGGTGTAAAATGTAAGAAAGAATTATGGCATTACTTGTCGCTGAAGTATTACAAACACTTTTGCAAAAATGATTTTGATGTTGCCTTTACGGATTTTCATTCACTGTTTGATCCAGATAAAGGCGCATATTTTATGAATTATTATTTCTTTGTAAATGAGTTGAGAAGCTTGCTTACAGATCCTCTATTAAAGTAAGATTTAACAAATTGTTAAAACAGCAGATTATAACGCATTTATTGCATATTTAATTCAGAAAATAGGAGATTTTAAATATTGTATACAAATTGTTTTAGGGAATCCGATTTCAGACTAAGATTAGGCATAGAGAAGCTTTTTTCATATCTGCAGCATTATCGTTTAAGGAAGAAGGTGTACGAATTTCTAAATTATCC